CCCCCACCACCATGAGAGACCCCAGGGATGCAGCCCACCTCCCTGCACAACAGGTAAGCAGGAGAGGGGGCAATGTTTTATTTATTCATTTTTATTAGTAGTTCTGTGTGTGTTTTAATAAGTGTGTGTGATGTGTGTGTTTCGTTACGTATGTATGTGTTTTATTAAGTGTATAAATGTTTGAATATGCGCGTTTTCTCTATTTTGCCTAAGGCCCCATTCACACTGTGCGGAAAATGCCGCTATTTCGCGCATTATCGCGAGAAGTCGCCGGCCAATGTTATTCAATGGAGCTGTTCTAATGTACAGCTCCATGTTGCCCGTCACTGTCACTTCAGCAGGACCCTCTCCCCCCCCCCTCCCATGTCGCACGATTGTTCTATTTTTTAATGCAGCCCGCCGGTGAAGGTCGCGCGATCTTTGCTGGAACGTCGCCTGAACAGTCGCACTATCCCGGCCCCGCTTGTAAGGTATGTCGCTTGGTGTGAATTGGGGCCTAAGGCAGTGATGTTGAACGTTTCTTAAAACCGAGCGCCCGAACTGCAATACAGTACTAAACTTATTTTCAGGTAAATTGATTTTGCGTCGCAGTTTGGGCACTCGGGTTCAAAAAGGTTCGCCATCACTGTCCTAGGGGCTCAGTGTTTCATTTGGGCTGGTGGTTTAGTTCTGCTATAAGATGAGGTACCAGCGGATTGAACATTCTCCAGTGATCATGTCTCTGTTGTGTGTTGGGATTTGGTATTGACTGTTTACATTTGTACTCTATAGGATAATTGTATTTTCTTTGACATTTAACAATTTAAGAATTTCCTGTTCTACCCATACAGTAAGTCTTGCTAAAGTGCCGAAAGGAAGAGTATAATGTGAATCTTTTATCTGTTTTGTCTGTAGAATTCAATCATTCCTGGGCCCCCCTTTCTGTTTGGAGCCTGCTCTGTGCTGCTAGCTTTGCTCGTAGCTTTGTTCATCCCAGAGCACACCAACCTGAATGCTCGCAGCGGCAACTGGAAGAAGCACGGAGCAGGGCACAGCCACCCGCACAGTCCGCCGGCACCTGGTGAAGGCAAGGAGCCTCTTCTACAGGACACAAATGTATGACAATTGCTTGAGAGACAATGACGGGCTTCTGCTGCTCATGTAGTTGCATTCCACTCAGTTTATAAGCTGAGACACCTGCAGGATCAGTTTCTACTCCAATGGAATGAATGGGCTCTCCAGTGACCAGACTAATCACGGGCCCTTTCTACTGCAGAGATGTGTAGTCTGCTGCCTCCATTCTAGCAGGCACGTCTCCAGCCTACCTACAACCTGATTGTGTGACAATCGGCATGTGTTCTACCTTCTGAGTGCCAGGTTATTGCAACTCCCAGATCTGAATATATAGATGTATTTTGGTGGACTTGGTCATACAGCAGGCTTAACTTGCTGGCATGGGACAAGAAACATGATCCTTGCGTTTGGTTTGCCTCCAGCATTTTTTCATTAGCCAAAGTGTTTTTTCTTTTGCTTCATTCATTACAGTGCCCTTTCCCCCCCCCCCATACTCCTGACACTTGCCCGGGTAATTTCCTCTTGGATGTAGTGATAGCTCCGTAGAGCAGATTGTACATGTTTACAAAGCATACATCATGGAAGGATTAGGACTGAGCTGGTTTTTCCAGTCTGCCATTACCATTCGCCCTGCCACAGTTGTAGATGATTTTATAGTGCAGTTGAACCAGGATTGCTGTGTAAATCACCAAGCCTTAAATGATGACTTGTATCATGGGACTGTAAGAGAGAGAAACAAACTGGATCTTTGTCGCTTGTACAGTTGTGTTTACCAGCTTTAGAGCCACGTGATTTTATGAAACGAGTTAGCGGCACAATAATTGTATGTTAGGTGGTGTCCCTCATGAAAACATTTTCCCTGTAGATGTTCCTCTGGCAGGAATGACTTTGATTATTGGCAGAGTGCAGCAACCCGCAGCGGCCAGCCAACCCATTTGGTTGCAGTGAGTCAATAATCTGATTAATGTACTGCACTTGACGGATCATTATTTTGCAGTGCTTTAGTGAATAAGCTTCCAACAATGAGGTATCATGCAAATCAAAAGCTGGGCTGTGTTGGTTGTACTGTTGGAGGGAGCAAGAGGTTATGAGGCTGGAGCTTTACTTCAGTGGTCTCTAGGAAGGTTTTTAATGCCACCAATTTCAAAGTTGCATTTTCCATACAATGGTGCTACTGGCTTCTAGTAGGAGAGAAGACTACTGGACGGTGCCAGTCTCTAGAGGGAACAGTTACCAAGGCCCCCACTTGGCATCATCTCTGTAAACAAGCATGAGCCTTTCCTAAAATTCCCAACAATACCAGTACTAGAAAGAGGAGATGGATTGTACTGAGCCCCCTTTTTATCACATGGCCAGCGGGGGGTCTATTACCCTCATGTAGAGAAAATGTTTTGATGAGAAACCAATTCTAAAACTGTGGTAAGAGCGGATTCCTTTCCTAGGTTGTACATTGAGCTGGAGCCTGCTGGCCAGGGATTCTATATTCACTGCTCATTGTTCTTCAAGACTTCTAGCCTTACATGTGAAGGGTTAATCCACTTCACATGACCATCTCATACACTGCCATGTCATTTTACACATTGAAATTCCAGTTCATGAGCTTGCTTTCTTCTCCACCCAACGAAGATATGTGAGGAAAATCCCTTATTGCTCTAATAATCGTGCAGCTCCTAGTCAGGAGATCCGTCAGAGAAACGTTTAGACTCGCATTCTCTCCTTTTATATACCACTATCTGTTGGATGTTTCATCTCCAAAACTTGAATATACAGCTTCCAGGGCCCGTTGCTTTGAGGCTGTGCATTTTATTGGTGGCCTTCCTCCATTTTTGTTTCAACCTCATGAATGCCAGAAGCTGGCAAGACTTTGGTTTGCTGGCACTCAATAGGTTTAAAGAAAAGCTATTTTAGTCTAGATACTTAGGATCAACTCCACGGAAAGCTTTATACAGAAAAGAAAAAGTAACAGATGTGAATTTATCTTCTAAAACATTATAACTTGTACATATTTTACTTGGTTATTTAAAGTGTTCTTTGTATAAAAAGTATTGTATAATTTAATAGGATCACTTTTTGTTTTGCTTGGTACTTTGAACATTTCTCATTGGCTCAGATCTGAATGATGTATGTTTACAAATAAACCTAAATATTTTTATATTTAACCTTGCAAAATCCATGGTGACCGCTGCAATTATTTATCCAAGATGGATTCACACCAAGGTGGGTACTGAATATAAAATATTGACGCCCACATGCATGCATACAGGTGATATTTTATTGAAAGGATTCTGTTACATATGTACGTAGAGTAGGTTATGTTTATTACCCATTTGTCCTCCTCTCCTTTTATGTCAGTTATATTTTATGCTGAGAACATTCCTTTTACTTCAGGGTCGGCTTTGGTAAGGTAACTTGTGTGTAAGAACATACTCCTTGTGCACGGATCCATGTGTGTACATCAGCTGCAAAACTAATTGATGCCGTCAGATATCCAGTCACAAAAAACCTGAAAAACCATTCCCACCTTTGCATTTTGGTGAACTTTCCATTGTAACAGATCAAAACGCATATTGACACGCATTGCAGCGCACTTTACGCACAATGATGTGCACCTATACTTGGTGAAACGTATGGTTCCGGTTTAATGTATTTCCATTAGGGATACACCGATACCACTTTTTTAGGGCCGAGTACAAGTACCGATGCTTTTTTTAAGTACTCGCCGATACCAATTACCGATACTTTTAAAAAAAGACATTGAATAATGAAATTAATATGTATCATGCCATTGCTAACTAAGGCTTGTATCCCCATAGTGGTCAAAATAGATGAGCACATGTCCAGACTGCAGACCAGAACACAGTGTGGCACAGCTATAGCCAATTCTGTATAACTGGCTTTATATTATTACTACATTGTCTTATAATATAAAGCCAGGTATGCAGAATTGGATATAGCTGTGCCACACTGTTCTGGTCTGCAGTCATGACATGTGCACATCTATTTTGACCACTATGGGGATACAAGCCTTAGTTAGCCTACATAGTACATAGTTATTTTCTTTTTTTTTTTAAATAATATATGCCGGTAAACAGCATTTTTGTGCCCAGCCCCATGAGGTGCGGCAGTACTAAGCTGCTGTGTCGTCTTCTCCGTCTGCTTCAGCCACTCTGTGTCACAGCCTAGTCATCTGCTCCATTCTGACCTCTTCTTCTCCCGCTGATTGGTGAGGAAGCCTGTCATCATCCAATCAGCGGGAGAAGAGATCAGAATGGAGCAGCTGACTAGGCTGTGACATCTGCTCTATTCTGACCTCTTCTCCCGCTGATTGGCCGATTTGGATGATGACAGGCTTCCTCACCAGTCACTCCTGACTGGTGAGGAAGCCTGTCAATCGGCCAATCAGCGGGAGAAGAGGTCAGAATGGAGCAGATGACAGAGGAGGTTGTGGCCATCTTGCTTCATTGAAGACGTGATGGAGGTCCTGTGTGCGGCGGATTCGGGTCCCTGAAGATGGTGGACGCGGCACAGGTACTCGTTTTATGTATCAGAGTATTTGCACGAGTACTCGTGCAAATACTCGGTATCACCGCCGATACTTGTATCGGTGCACCCCTAATTTCCATTATTCCATATTAGGGGTGCACCAATACTGGGCATTTTCACGAGAACTTGTGCGAATACCCCAATACTAAGTGACAGCGCTTTACATTTTTAAATGGCTTGCAGGGGACCTCATTCCGGCTGTCTTACATTGCCAGTGCAGCCGCACATTGCACCTGCCAGAGCCCGACCAGCCTGATGAGCAACACAGAGTATGTAGCTTCATATTCTGCATTGCTGTATATTTTGCTGGGATTTGTAGACCTCCTATAGCTGATGCCATTCTGCATTGCTGTAATTTGTAGACCTCCTATAGCTGCCATTCTGCATTGCTATATAATATAGTCCCGCTACAGCTTGGAGTCTGCCAGAACTACCAAGATTGCAGCTGTGGCCAGGCCTTGGCCCTCCACCACTGTCCTAGAATTAGTCTGTATAGTTTTAGAAAAACTGTCACATGACAGTAAAGAAAAAAGTATCTTTAATTGGTATCGGTGAGAACTTGAGGAATAGTATCAGTACTTGTGCTCGCTCTTAAAAAAAAAATGGTATTGGTGCATCGCTAGAAAATATGTTGGGCAAAAACACATCCAAATGAAAGAATCGGTCCGGGCACAGATGACTTCACTGGTAGTAAAAGCTTTGAGACTTGCCAATTGTCATATAGTCCCACCCAGTCTGAACAGAAGGGTGGGACTGAATGGCACTTGTTGAATATCAATAAAAAGCTTTTACTACCAAAAATATCATCTGTGCACAGCTGCATGTGGAAGGGTCACTTTTTGTTTTGCAAGCCAGCTAAACAGCAGGGAGGTGAGTCATGACCCGGCTTCCTGATTGGCCGAAAAGCTGGCTCCATGTTGCCTTTGCCGGTCATAGGAAATCTTTCTATTTAGTAAGTATTGGAGCATTTGGTCAGGAGGAGTTTTGCACGGTCTCGCTTGTTTCTCTTAAATAATACTCTGTACTGTACACAGCTGTCATGAGTAAAGTGACTCGAGAACAGCTGATCTTTATGTGGGGCTTTCAGTCAGATTTTTTTAGACATTTATGCAGTTGCTTCTTACAACACAACCATGGTCTGCAAAGGAATTGCATTGTTGGAAGGTATAAATCAGGAGAAAGGTACAAAAAAAAAATGTTTCCAAGGCATTACAGTCACAATAGAACACAGTGAAAACATTCATTAAGAAGTGGAGGAAAATGGCAACAGTGATATTACCAAGATTGAAGAAGAAAAAAAACTGCTCTAGGAGGATGCCCCGAGGCCTACACCAACATTCAAGGAGCTGCAGGCATTTGTGACAAGTACTGGTTGTGTACTACATGTGATAACAATCTCCTGTAGTCCTCCAGCCTGTGTGATAGGTGGCAAGATGGAGCCTTTTCTTACTAAGAAAAACATCCAAGGTCAGCTACATTTTGCAAAAACTTAAGTCTGACAAAAGCATGTGTGGGGGAAATGTTTTCTGGTCTGATAAGACAAAGATTGAACGTTTTGTCATAATTCCAAAAAGTATGGTTGGTAAAACAAACCACACTGTGCATTACCAATGAAACACCACACCCACAGTGAAGCATGGTGGTGGCAGCATTATGCTTTGGGGCTGTTGTAAAGATTATGAACAGTTCCAAATCTGTCAATCTTCAGACACCTGCTTAAAATCTGAGGATGAATTTCACCTTTAACATAACAACCCAAAGCATATTTCCACTTTATCAGAAGACCAGTTTTGGAATGGCCCAACCAAAGCCTAGATCTGAATCCAATTGAAAAGCTGTGTGATGATCTGAAGAGGGCTGGGCATAGGCGATGCTCCCACAATCTGACAGATATGGAGCGCTTTTGCAAGAAAGCATTAGCAAAGATTCCCAAGGCAAGATGTGTCAAAGACTGAATGCCATCATAAAATCACAAGGTGCTTTAGCAAAGTATTAGTTTAAATTCCTTTTTCACCTTTGTAAATGATTCACATTTATTGTGGTATTGTAGAGGTTCAGCATTGATGTATATGTTGCACATTTCAGAACTCGTTATTAGGCTTTAAGTTTCTCCACAGGAAATTCAGCCTAACACCAGTGTCAGATTGTGAAGGCAAATTGTAAACAGCCCCCGCCTCCCTGTGACTCATTGTAACACCATCACTGCCTTTGTGCACAATACACTATCGGGGGGGAGCTCACAATAAGATATACACACATTGTTTGTACAGCACAGTCAGGCATTTCCATGAGACTGGATAAAAAGGTGGTACACCGCGCTAGTAGTAGAACTAACAATAAATCCTAAAGTGGGCAAGCTGCAGTGCTAATAGGTGAATAATGATACACCGCACTATTAATCCAATCTAAAAATGCATATGAATTGTGCTAATAGTTTTTTAAAAATGCACTAGAGCATAAACAATGTAACCAGGTAGTGTAAAAAAACTAATAGTCCATAATATTATAAAAATTCTCATCCATATAGAAAGTGACAAAATCCTACACAAACAGGATGATTTTGTCACTTTCTATATGGATATCTGGAGAATTTTTATACTATTATGAACTATTAGTTTTGTGTTTTTACACTACCTGGTTACATAGTTTTATGCTCTAGTGCATTTTTTGTATTAGCACAATTCATTTAGGATTATTCATATGCATTTTTAGATTGAATAGCGTGGTGTATCATTCACCTATTCCCATGAAAATATGAAGAGGAAAGCCAACCAAAAAAATAATTTGTGTTAATTTATAGTATACAGTAACTGCATGCCTGCTTCATGTACACTGCTGACGGTGTTTTAGGAAAAAAACCTCCACACTGGTAGAAATGGGGGTGGGAGCTTTCATGATTCTCTCACGAGTTTACTTTAAGCACAAATCAGGAATTCTGACTTCATTCTGTCTATGTGTGTTCCAGGTCAGTTACAAGGTACCAAAACTATGGGCAGTCCCAAAGAGGTCAACAAGAGAACACTGCATCACTTTTACTGCTTGTGTGTGTACCTTCAGGACTATTTCATGCTCAAAGATTTATAGTTGGCACTTACTCAGCTTTACATGAACTAGAACAACTTTAATTAAGCCATTAAAAAAAAAAAAGGTAATCTGATGCATCACAGGGACTATTTTGTAAGGACTGTTGACTAGGAAGCCTCTGACTGCAATAACAAGCTGAGGAGTGAAAAACCTTAAAATATATTAAAAAAATAAGACTGCACATAAGCCTAGTCATGACTGGTTGTCTTTATGTATGGAAAGTAGAAATGTGCCAAAAACACATTAACCACAGCGAGATCCATTTGGTTCCCCGTGTCCAAAATACATTTTACAACCTCTGAAAAGATGGTTTAAAGCCAGACTCCATTGTGGTGAAGTGGAAGGCTTTGCCAGGTAGTATTTAATATAAGAACATTACATTCAGAATCACTTCTGAAGAACTCTGATTTGGATACACGTTACACTCCAGTAGCACACACCACACTTGTAATACAATAACGGGAGGTAGAATATGACTGCTTCAAAGATTTCTTTTAGACAAAATAATGTTAAGTGTCAGCTCCTAATGTGCAAAATATAGTATAAAGGTCCTGCTCCAGTCAGAGTAGAAGACATTTGTAAGAGCTGCAATGTAACTGTTAATAAAAAGCGGAGTGAGCTTTGGGTAAATATGAGCAGAAAATCGTGTTCATTTATGCATCGCTGGAAAACGTGGGCTGCTGATGCAGAGATTTCAGTTGACTTGCAGAAGGCACGTGAGCAGTCTTCATATGAGAGGTCCATGAGCGTGATAACAAGTGAATCTACTCCACGTCATCAGCGATAATTATTGTGACAACAAAGCACCTCATCTGAGAGTCTGTCACTTGTGGTTTATCCACGGGCCTGATCACTCTTCTACTTCAAGGTGCGATTACCAAGTTTTTATCCATCACAAAGAAGATACTTGTCCAGGAAAGTAAGCGGACTGAATAGGAGGACCCGTCTTCACATGTGTCACGGTACGCAAAGCTTTCTGTGGCTCTAATTAAGAAAGAATGGCAACATCAGTTTATTATTTGAGTAGGTGGAACATAAAACATTAGTATTTCCCCTTCTCATAGTAATGATCACATTAGAAGCAGCAAAAAAGGTCAAACTAACTCCATTTTGTTACAGCAGCAACTTCTCTGCATGTAGTCAAAAGATCCAAAATAACTAGGCATGCCAGGGCTGGCCAACTCCATCTGTTGTGGAACTACAAGTCTCATGGGCCATTGCAGGACTGAGTTAAAGGCATGACTAGCAGAGGCATGCTGGGATTTTCACACACACACACACACACACACACACACACACACACACACACACACTGTAAATGCTCAACACCAAGTAAAATATAATTAGCATTGGCATGCCACTTTGTAGATTATCTCCATATGAGAGGACACCATGACCCTCCTGGCATGCCACTCTAGATTATCTCCACATGAGAGGACACCATGATCCTCCTGGCATGCCACTCTGGATTATCTCCACATGAGAGGACACCATGATCCTCCTGGCATGCCACTCTGGATTATCTCCACATGAGAGGACACCATGATCCTCCTGGCATGCCACTCTGGATTATCTCCACATGAGAGGACACCATGATCCTCCTGGCATGCCACTCTGGATTATCTCCACATGAGAGGACACCATGATCCTCCTGGCATGCCACTCTGGATTATCTCCACATGAGAGGACACCATGATCCTCCTGGCATGCCACTCTGGATTATCTCCACATGAGAGGACACCATGATCCTCCTGGCATGCCACTCTGGATTATCTCCACATGAGAGGACACCATGATCCTCCTGGCATGCCACTCTGGATTATCTCCACATGAGAGGACACCATGATCCTCCTGGCATGCCACTCTGGATTATCTCCACATGAGAGGACACCATGATCCTCCTGGCATGCCACTCTGGATTATCTCCACATGAGAGGACACCATGATCCTCCTGGCATGCCACTCTGGATTATCTCCACATGAGAGGACACCATGATCCTCCTGGCATGCCACTCTGGATTATCTCCACATGAGAGGACACCATGATCCTCCTGGCATGCCACTCTGGATTATCTCCACATGAGAGGACACCATGATCCTCCTGGCATGCCACTCTGGATTATCTCCACATGAGAGGACACCATGATCCTCCTGGCATGCCACTCTGGATTATCTCCACATGAGAGGACACCATGATCCTCCTGGCATGCCACTCTGGATTATCTCCACATGAGAGGACACCATGATCCTCCTGGCATGCCACTCTGGATTATCTCCACATGAGAGGACACCATGATCCTCCTGGCATGCCACTCTGGATTATCTCCACATGAGAGGACACCATGATCCTCCTGGCATGCCACTCTGGATTATCTCCACATGAGAGGACACCATGATCCTCCTGGCATGCCACTCTGGATTATCTCCACATGAGAGGACACCATGATCCTCCTGGCATGCCACTCTGGATTATCTCCACATGAGAGGACACCATGATCCTCCTGGCATGCCACTCTGGATTATCTCCACATGAGAGGACACCATGATCCTCCTGGCATGCCACTCTGGATTATCTCCACATGAGAGGACACCATGATCCTCCTGGCATGCCACTCTGGATTATCTCCACATGAGAGGACACCATGATCCTCCTGGCATGCCACTCTGGATTATCTCCACATGAGAGGACACCATGATCCTCCTGGCATGCCACTCTGGATTATCTCCACATGAGAGGACACCATGATCCTCCTGGCATGCCACTCTGGATTATCTCCACATGAGAGGACACCATGATCCTCCTGGCATGCCACTCTGGATTATCTCCACATGAGAGGACCCCATGACCCTCCTGGCATGCCACTCTGTAGATTATCTCCATATGGGAGGACACGCATGACCCTCCTGGCATGCCGCCACTTCTAAGATATAGTTAGTGAGCACAACTTTAAATGTCACCTACCTGGAGCAGTGTTCTGGTTAAGGCCATGCAAAGGGAGGCCCACTTCTCTTTTCTTTAAATATTTTAAATCCAGGCCTGCCGATTCTCCACTGAAACAGAAAATCATAGTTGGCTCTTAATCTAGATCTATAAGCCTTGGCAGTCATAGTGGAAGCACTGGTAAAGTCAGGAGCAGTACTTACTTTTCTTTGTTGGCACTTTGAGTTGACCCAGAAAGGCTTTGTGGTGGATTTATTTTAGTGAGTGGATTGTTGTAATGAACCTTGAGAGAAAACAGGGGACCGGTTTAAACACTTTTCCAATATAAAACTAAGCACACATGTACAAGATTATAAGATGTCCAATCTTTAGTCTCCACCTTTCCACACAGTCTACTCACCCTCATGCTAGGGCACCTCATGTCCAGAGACGTTTGGTGGGAAGATACAGGAGCTGGAACAATGGGTATCACTGGGTAAGAAGGGAGGGGGTAGTTTATGCGAGTGTTGTGGTGACCAGGTATTCTGTTGTCTGGCTGCCGAGGAAAAAAAGAATAAAGTAAAATACCTGAACTATTGCCATGGAGGGCGTGGTGATGAGCGGCAGATAAGAAAATGGCTCACCATTTGGTTGGGTGACACTGTGGCCCGGAAGGGGGCGTTGCTCGGATTCAAGCCCACAGAATGAGTCTCATTCAGCTGCTTATTCAACCAAGAAATGACTGCAGAAAGACAGCAAGATAAATGTTTTATCATTCGGTAGGTTAATAAAATCCATTTCGTGGCGTGTTTATAAGGTTAGTAAATCAACCCCAATGTGTCTGCAAGCTGAATACAAACAAGACATACAGTATATCTTGAAGAAATTCCCACACCTCAATAATGTATACTGTATGCAGGCCATATAAAACAAAACAGGGAATGCTGAATCACTATACAAAACCAGCAGTAACCTGCAGCACCCTAGAGATCAGCTCTGAAATGTCATGCAGGCTAGCCAGTATAAGCTGCTATGTCATTTGCTGCTACATCCAACCACACAACTGCACATGCGCTGCTATTAAAGTCACAAGTGCAATTTAAAGCCCATTCCCACCTTTGTAAGCAATTAGCATTTATTGTGGTAATGTAGAGTTGCAGCCATGATGTATACGTGTACATATTCAAGACTCGCATTGCTGACTTTCATAATTTTTTTTGATGGACTTTTTAGTAGACCCGAGTCCTACAAATTGAACATTTTCTCAACAGGAAACTCAGTCCAACACTAAGGTCAGATTGCAAAGCAGCTGCCCCCCTCCTTGTGAGTCATTTAACAAGATCACTGAACACTAGCTCTGCCTTTCCAGGTCACAATACACTGTCCAGTATGAATACTAATGAATAGAGGGAGAGAGCTCAGAGAGTGTTCATTTACACAGACTGCTTGCAAAGCACAGAGGCGGCCATTTCAGGTGAAGGGGAAAGAAGAAAGAAAGAAACAAGATATCTCCCGGCGCTCGGCCTGCACAGCATACTAATGCAAGTCTTCAGAGACAGGGTCACAACTTGGACTGTGCCATGGTTCTAGACCTGCAGAGCGCTCCATGGATAACTTTTAACAGTACAGTTAGGTCTGGAAAGCACCACAATGCAGAGAACAGTGCTTGAAGTTTGCACTCCAGGCTAGGCCAGTATGGGCTCCAAAGTCAGCCTGAGGAAAAGCGGATAAAGATAACTGCTATGTATAGACCATCTCAAGCAGCAGTATGATGAGGAATCTTAATTGAAGAGAAAAAGCCACAAATTAAATTGAAGAAAAAAGGCGAGCAAAAGATTGGTTAGACTTCTCAGTAGAGCTGAAGATATCCATCCTTCTAGAACACAAGCAAGAAAAACGGAGGCATACTGGAGTAGAATGGGCTTTCCTGGGCTGGCCTAGTTTTCTTGTTTGCCAGTGTCCAGTATCTAAATTCCTGTGTCCCTCAAAGAACTATCGATAAATGACTGTTGCAATAGTTACAAGAACTTCATTTGAATACATTTGCCTAATAACAGGTCGTTCCTTAACTCACCGTTCTCATTTGTTTTAAGCAGTTCTTTGCTCTCCTCTAACTTTTGTTCTGTTTCCTGAAGTCTTTCATGCAACTTTTCTACCTAGGAGATAAGAAATCTAGATCGGTTTCACATCATTATTGCAAATATTAACTATTCCGAATTCAATAAAGTTGATTCAAACCCAATAAAGCAATCCTAAGCTTAGGTATAGAAAAATATGTTCTACAATGTGAGCAAAAAGCACTCTTGGGTTTTTCAGGGCTTGTTGGTCTATTTAGAATCCCAAGTCTGTCCTTCTAATTTAAATGATACACAGTATGTTACAGAATTCTAATCTGTTGACTTTGATCTTGCCTACCATCCTTTAACTTACCTCTTCTTCTTTTACATGAAGACTATGCTGCACATCAACTATGTTATTCTCCCTTTCCTGAATCAGCTTCTCCTTCTCAGACAAATGTTTTTCCTGCTGCACAGTCACAGCATTCTTTAGCTTTAGCTTGCTTATTAACGTCTTCAGGTCCCCTTGAAGTTTCTTAATAATAGAATTTGCCTGTGGAATACAAAATTAAACTGAAAAACAAGTATACGATGCCCGACACAAAACTGCCCACTACCATAATTCAGCTAGATTCTAAAGTACATTACCAAATACAATAAAATATATACATGGGCACATACATTCAGTCTTTTGAAAATATTACTGTGGGTGGGCACTAAATGTGATACATTATAAATCCCACTAACAGCAAAGGTTAAGGGGGTCTTTACAATAATCCCAAAAGTCACCACAAATCCAATAATAAAAAAAAAAAAATAATAATATCAAACTGTCCACCAACCCGGGGAAAAAAAAGGGGGACAGCATTTGTGCCATTTCATTCTTACCATTAATAACAAAGAACACTATTTATTGCACTAGGGACTGGACTATGTAACACCTTATCGGTTAACTTTGACCGAGCTGGAAACATTAAAGCCTAACTCCAGGTTTAGTAAACATATCTTCTCTCTGGTCACATGATGTACAGGATCCTCCTCCTCTTCCCTCCGCTGGTGGGCAGTCCTGCATAATGGCGTTTGTGTATCAGTACTGAGCGCAGGCCGGTGAGATGACAGCCAGGGCTCACAGAAGTGGGCTAAACGTCAGGTGTCATTCAGTCTTGAAGATTGGCAGAAGAAGCAGGACAAGGCAGAAGAAGCAGGACAAAGCGGAGAGTATTGCACCAAAACTGCATTTTTTAACAAATGCTGAGCTATTATTTTTCTGAACTGTAGTTAGGGTTCTAAGGCAAAGCTATCGGATTAGCATGAATGCGGATGTTAACAGCTTTGTCAATATTCATCACTTATAGGTTTCAAACGTTGAACCATACAGAGACGTGGAAACAAATTGATTTTTTTTTTTTAATTGGCAACATTGTCACTCGGGATGCACCGATACTGGTTTTTCGGTATAGAGTGCAAGTACCGATATTTTTTTCCCGTTATTTGCCGGTACTGAATACTGATACCAGATGTCCCATTAAGGAAGCCGGGAAGCATGTAATAACTCGTCGCCCGGCTCCATGCTCGACGAGGAAGCATGGAGCCGGCTTTCTGGCCAATCAGGAAGCCGGGGGGCAGGTAAAGAGTCGACTGGCTGCCCGATTGGCCAGCTTCCCGACCAATCAGGAATCCGGGTGGCAAGTGATTACACGCTGCCCGGCTTCTTGATTGGCCAGGAAGCCAGCTCCATGCTCCCTCGTCACCAAGTATTAGTATCGGCATCAGTGCATCCCCAATTGTCACTTATCTGGGTTGGTGGACATTTATCTTCTATTATATCTTTTAGATTGTAAGCCCTCATGGGTAGGGCCCTCCTTACCATCTTGTCCTCAACTGTATTATAATTATAATGTCTTCCCTATATTGTAAAGTGCTGCGCAAACTGTTGGCGCTATATAAAATCCTGAATAATAATTGATATCATTGGAAGGTTATTTGTCTTTGTGTGTTAAGAAAGTTGAAGAAAATGTTGAAAGTAGCCTAGCACTGACTCTTCCCTTGCTAGTATTCTAAAACAGGTAATTAATATAAATCAATTTGGAAACAAAACATGAATCTCATACACAGACAATACAAGCAAGAATTCCACATACAATGGCACTTACCTTGAGAAGCTCTGCAGATAAGGACTGGATTGTTGCTTCCAACCTTTCAACCTGCGCCTGCTTCTTCTCACCGCTAGATTCTAATCCGATCTGTAAAAAAACACTAATTATGAACTGTGTTTATGCCAGCGTAACGTACACGCATTTTGTAGAACTTTAGTACACTGACCTTTTGCTGCTGGGTGGCTGAGAGAATTTCATTACTTCTCTGCACTATCTGATCCTTGTCTTTCAGCTCCTGCTCCAGCACAGCAAGGCGAGTCTGAAGACGATTCATCTCTTTTTCTTTATCATGGCACTCCGCATCCAGCGAGGTGTTCTCTCTACCCAAAGACGACACCTTTTGTTGTGCTCTTTGTAATTCCTGAAAAACAAAACAGGCCCAAGATTTTGCCGGTTGCAGTTAACATTTAAGGTTTAAAGCAGACCTGTTGCCTACATGTATTACACAAAATCATGCCTCAATAATGCGTTACAACTATTTCCCTAAATTCTAAAAAATAAGGACTTCAGTATTACAAAGAGCAATGCTCAAAACAATCTGCAGTACAAATCTGAACCGATAGGATCAAAAATGACCACAGATTATCCTGCCATTCCCCTATCTGCACATACATGAGGAAAAAAAAAAAAAAAAGCTTCTTGGTGTCCCCTTTAGTTCTGTGAGGCGTGGCTGCAACTTCTGCCCTTTTGGCTGAGGTCTTTAGCACAGTAGAGCAAGACTTTATGGCACATAGCGGAGTTATTTGCCAAATCTAAATGCAGAGGCCACAAGCATGCTGCCGTGAGCTCTCCTGCAGATTGTACATCTGATTTACCAATGGCCTTAGCAGCTTCTGAGCAATCAGCCACAGAGACAGTCGCTCAAGTTTGACAAATGAGATTACCCCTAAGAAGTTGCAATCTACTGATAATAATCCCAAATTGAAGACCGTTTCGGCTCTTGTTGGAGTGCACACCATTCTGAGGCTAGAGACCTAGCCTGTTGCTTCTACCAGTGCCAATGCCAGTCTAGAGTTGGTTAAATCTAAGGCCACAAAATACTTTCCCTTTGAAACAGCTTTTCAAATTATTTCTTTGGGAGATTGGAAGCATACGGATCAGCTATTTTGCCGCCCCCCGCGCAAACATTTATTAGCTTTTTATCCATTTGGTCAGAATTTTGTACAAAAGCGGTCCATTCCTCATTGTGGATCCGACTATGTCCCACCTTAACATAGCATTTGCTATACTGGTAGAGGACGCGCCTATCTTTAAAAATCCATTTAATATATAAAAATGATATGGGTTCTTTCTTTTCTCCAGGTGTGGAGGGCAGCCCTTCCTCCAGCACCATGTAACTAAGTGAGAATGCAGTTTGGTTTAGTAGTAGCACTTTGAGCCCAGGCAAGAGAAATGATGCAACACCAGAGGGTGAGTCAATGACAGCATGGGCTCAGAGCAAGTGGGATGAATGAGGCTGGCCACAATTCAGCCTGGAACATTGTCAACAATTAAAGCAGCAGAGAGGACCAACTGTGGGGGACAGTGTCAGATAGACGGCAAGTATTGCAGGAAAAGCTGATTTTTTATTTTACTTTTGCCAAGCTATTTTTTTTTACCTGGGATTTTGTTGGAAAAAAAAAAAAGAAATTGCAGCTCATTAATGTAGAATTAAACCTAAATAACTACCCTTTATTATTCTTCTACCTCTAGCGTGTATGAGAATACCTAATGTGTTGCGCAATAGGCATTTCTGCTTGTTCATTTGTCCTAAATGCGTGAATTTGTAAGAAGGTCCAATTTTTTTTTTTTTTTTTTTATGATATATATTTTTAATACATTTTAAGAAGCCCCATGTAATAATACAAAGGACGTGACAGGTACTTTTATGGAGACATCAGGGGTCTAGTGGTATTTTCTTTTTTATTCTATGTGATCTCATTAGGATTTCCCTTCATTTCCTGCATTGGAAGCAAGCGGTCACAAAGAAAGTATAATGAAGTCTCAAAGGAGACAAAAACAATACAACATTTTTATAGTATTAATGGAAAAATATATCACCCAATTTCTAGATCTCAAACAAACGTATACACTGAGAACAAAAAGCAATGAAATGTGAAATAGTTTCAGGTCTAGGTGATTTAAGGTCAGTACTTTGTACCTCTTCCAGGCCCTGGAACTTTGAACGGAGCTCTCGGACAGTGGATTCCGATTTGTATCTCCTTTCAAGGAGTTCTTTGTTGGACTGTTCCAACTCACTCACTCGGCTCTGCATCTGCTGTGTGCTCTTCTGAAGTGAGCAATCAAACTCTCTTCTTTGTTGCTCATACTGTTGAAGTAGCTGAGCGTATGCCTGCAAGGATAAACCATAAAAATAAAACCATACCAGGAATTTATTTACATATTCTTACATTTATGAATACACACATCAACAAAAACAAGTATGCCTGTTTGTACACAGCAGGTATTGGGGTGTCACATAAAGTGGAATGGAATGGAATGGTAAAATCCATTGTTAAGAAAGCACCATTCTTTTATTTTAGTGTGAATTTTTTTGTTTTAGAGACACAGCATTCCAAGGTGCCATGAAATATGCAGATGGAATTTAATAACCTCTACTCCTAGAATGCGGAATGTCTAGCTGTCAGGCTAGTTTAACAGATTAAATATCTTGAGTCACTTCCCAGGACAAGTAAGCAGGTCAGGAGTTTTGGCTCACCTTAGTATTAAAGTGAGAGACAGCCAGGCAACTTGCACATTTCAGAAGGAAGTCAAGATGGTAAATGGCAGTTTACATTTTAGTGTGAGAGCTACAGCTCTGATGTCTCCGATGATGGATTGAAACTCAACAAATAGGAGTTGTGGCTGCTTCTGACAGCATGACAGGATTGGGCTCCATCATGGAAAGAATCTGTAGCAACTTCAATAGCAGGAATGCAATTTTCTAGGCAGTGCTAGCAGCTCTGTCAGTCTGTGTTAGTTACTTACTAGAGACTACTCTCTGCGCTGCAGGGACTAGTTGAGTGACTCCTTCCCCACACAAGGGTTTAAGGTGCTTGGGGACATACTGTATGAGTGGAATGGGTTGTGGGTCATAGTACTAGCAGCCATTGGAGGAAGGAAAGCCAACAGGGATCTCAAGGAGAGTAGAGGAAGTGTGAATGAATCAGGCCCATGTCTGGTATGCCTGGCTGAATCCAATGCACACATCCAAATATCATACAATCCTCAGTAAAGCAATCAGAATTAGTCATTTGTTACTTTTTTTTTTTACCTGCTGAGCTTTTTCTTTTTCACTTGTACTCTCTGTCGTATGCTGGCTGGTTAGTTCAGAAATCTTGAGAGAAGTGTCAGTTTTCAATTTTTCCAGTTCAATCATTTTATCTGACAAAGCCTGCATAACAAACAAAGAAACAAGGAGTAATAAGGCAGTTCTGTGCTTACAATAAGTACACAAGAATACAGCAAAACCGTTGTATAGCAGTTATTGCCTACATCAGCCGCTGTTTAAAGTAAAAGTTCTATGAGCTTCCAAAAACTCAGAAAACATAATAAAAGAATTATGAATGGCCTGGAAACTTCCAAGTAGTCAATTAAGTGTAGAAACAGTTTGTTACTACTGAATTAATTATCGATTATGCTCATCTGAAGGAGTAGAAGGGCTTGTGACTAAGAAGCTATCAAAACTTTTGTTTTGTTTGTTGGTTTTAATTTAGGGGTGTAGCTGGCCAATATGTATAGAGACTGTATGACATCTAGTGGGTGGAATAGGAAACTTGTTCACTTTATATGCAGTCTCCAGCACATACATCACTCTGCAACTTCTTGGGGTGTGTGCTAAGATAAGTGAGCTTTCACCATTTCTGACAGAGGGTTGGCATTGTTCTAAAATTGCAATAGAAATGTGATAAAAACACTGCTTTCTGAAGAAGTTTTTAGTTTTGTTTTTTAATAGAAGGATAAAAAAAATGGCCTGTGTACCCAACAACATTATTGAAGAGCTGCTGCCATTTCTTTTATAATCAAAAGACAGGTTTGTTTCCTTGGCGTCCATTAATTGACACAGGAATTTAGATATCCAAAAATGTGTGAATTATGCAGCTGCCTTAAGGAGAAAAGTGTGGGGGCACCCCCGAGCAATGCTACTAAGGGGTGGACACCAGCCACTGAGTAATCCAACGGATGTGGAAATCAATTAGAAAATTTCTGGGGGGAAACAAATCTAACTAAAAGGACCAGAAAATTGTTGAGAAGGAACAGGTTATTGCCACACACGCAATAAACTGAGGCATGATAGTTAGGGGTAGTGTTATTTGCAGATGGACCTTCCAACTTTTTTTTCTTGTCAGCGTCAACCTTCTGAAGGCAGCTGCATAACCCACACAACTGATAATGTTCATTCCTGTGTCCCTCAATGGACAATAAAAGAAAATATCTGGACTGATATGAAATACCTGTGGGACTGGTTCATTTGGTACGATTAGGCCGGGTTGTAGCGGTTTGCCAAGTTAGGTAACGAGCATGTACTTCGATATTCTAACAGTTGACAAATACATGTTCTAAACAAGCAATTTTTCTTTTCCAAGATGTATTTAACCACTTGAAGTCCGCGGTGTTAAACCCCCTTCCCATCCAGGCCATTTTTCAGTATTCAGCGCTGCGGTACTTTAACTGACATTTATTCCGTCATGCAGCGCTGTACTGAAATTAATTTTATACCCTTTTTTGGGGACAGATAGAGCTTTCTTTTGGTGGTATTTATTCACCACTGGGGGTTTTATTTTTTACTATATTAAAAGGAAAAACTACAGATTCGGGCGGGTCTTTCCTGCCCGTGCGCGCGCGCTAGGGGGCACGCGCGAGCAGGAAAAAACTGCCGTCTGGCGACGGCCACCCGCGGATGCGAGTCTGCCGTCCGTCCGTTTTTTTCTTAACGGGCGGACGGCAAGAGGTTAAAGGCCAACTGCAGCTGACATTTTCTTGGAGTGGAGAACGGTTAATTTCCTTTCACTTACTGTGTAGTCACCAAGAAAAAGGAAAGGAAAACAAAATACAAGTTCTCCATTCTATTCCACACACAAAAAAAAAATAGCTTAATTCTTGCTCAGTGCAAAATCTTGGCAAACGGGGGGATGAATTTGCATGGACACGGGACAAAAACCCAGAAGAAGACTGGGCGTAGATGTCAACGGCAGCAAGGTAACCTGCAGATGTTACTTAGCTGCTTTTTTTTTTTTTGAATACATGATCTGATAGGTAAAATAAGCACCTGCTGAGCAAAGATTAGCTGCCGGCTCAGATCTTCTTCTGTTTTCTTCAATGCTTGCTGTAATACACATTTTTCATCCTGCACAAAAGAAATACAAAATTTGAAAAGCAAATACAAGGAATAGAAATGTAAGGTCTCTGTGTCATGAAAAATTCAGAGAGCTACCTTAATACATCTTAAGCATGTTGCTAGGTATGTCTTTACTTCTACGTCATTTGCTGGCTGGAAGCGTAGGGAAAGGTGTGTCAGGTGCTTAAATGAATTAGTCTCGATCACGTCCAGTTGTGCAGGGGAACTACCCAAGACCGGGCCTGAATAAGACAACTGGAGAAGGAACCTACAAATACAGATCATAAGTCACTCAGATTTCACAAAATATCCCCAGATTATGTAACGGAACAAATGAAGAAGCATCCCCCCCCCACCCTCTATTCTAAACATACAATATTCCAGTTATTCTAGCCAGATCAATCATTTTTGGCTGTGTTACTTCTCAGCACAGAAGTGTGAGCAATGAGGGCAGCTGCTCCTGGAACAGGAGAAGGTAAATATAATGCCGTGATGGTTGGTTTAGTGTCAGTATGGGTGATAGTGTCAGGGTTCCAGGAGCTCTTTAGTTTAAGTTTTCAGGTAAAGATTAGAGTTTAGGATTTTCAATTTTAGGTTACATGGTTGGGGGTCGATAACATTAGGATGAGACTAAACAGCACTTTAGTGTTAGAATTTCCTTGGGAAACTTTAGGATGTTCATAACACAAGAGACGCGTCTGTAAAAAATAGGATTTATTCCAGAGAAAATTTTTTAGCTCCTTACTCCTGACGCTAGGCAAAAACTGGAGACTTGTCAGCAAGTGAGGGGTTGGGCCACCAGCAGGGGCCGCCCCTAGGCTGTCTTGTCTTTTTGTTATGTGCCTAGCGTCCTACTCCTGCAGGTGGCGATATACCCCTACCATTCAGGATCTACGATCTGTTGCCCTGTGTCCTTCAATGAACGGGAGAGAAAATACCATTACTGGGATCCCGGAGTTGATAAATAACATACTTTGTTCTAGAAGTACTGAAGACTGTTTTCAGTTTCAGATGGTGCTGTTTTTTAAGTGTGTGAAAACATTTTTTTGTGGTAGACCGAGTGCTGTAGTGCTACAGACACCTTCAAGTATTTATGACTGGCTGTGTCATCTCCTGGGAGATTAACCCTTTTTAATTGTCTTTTTGAACAATAATCAAGAAGAAAATGTTTTTCATGAGGGAGGGAAACTTTTTAAATGGGGACACTTGTTCAAGTGACAACTGTCTAATAGGGGATTTCCCTCACTTCATAGAAGGTGCTCTTTCACTTTCTATTGTGTCTATAAAAAGGTAAAGAAATGAAGGAAAAGCTCCCCAATGACATGAGTGGCAAAAAAAAAAAGAAGATTTAGTCATCCCTTCCTTACCCTACGCAAAATAGAAAAATAATTGGATTTAGATAGATTTCAAAATGTATTTTTATGACACCTATTGTAAGAAAAGAACATAAACCATAAAATGCAGGTTATCGGATGTACTTATTCATCATTAATCTGTGGAATATGCTTGAAGAGAAAGAATACAACACACTGGCTACAAAAACCAGTAATATACAAGGTGTTGGTGGTAGCTCATACAGCCTGGAAAGTCAGATAGACATGTCAGCCACTTCCTTACCTAGGTGCATCTTTGCTCTCCTCATTGACGCACTGATGCAGTAAATCGATAAACTTCTGAGGAAATGCCGTATAGTCTACCAGAAGACTCTGCTGTAGCTTCAGACTTTGGAAATCATCTTCAGAAATTATAAGATTATACAAAAACAAAAGATCTGTGTCATCTGTCAACCGAACAACAAGATCCTGTAGAAAAGAAAATTTACCACCCGTTAGGTCGAAACAAGTTGGAGGCAAACCTACTAGGTGATGGTATTCAACTGTCCCTGTAGAGGAATAAATGAAAGCTGAATTCCAGGCCAGAGAAATATTGTCTGAATACAAGAGACATGTGTATTGTTGAATCTTGATGTCCTTTGTAGATTGCTTCTGTACAGCAATCCAGCAGAACTCACTGCAGAAGTTCCCTGTAATAAAGACTAGTCACTGCTGGTCTTGTATTCTCCCCCTGTGGAGTGAACATGCGTTAGCAACTCGCTGCACTCAAATATATTCCTGCATACAACACGCGCATGTGTGTGAACAGGTAGTAAACATAGCCAGGTTTTTTGCATTGGGCAATGCTGCCCAACAGGGCTGGTTTAAATGAGCCCTCATGTAGTTAGGTTTATGTTAGTCCCCGTTTACACCAGGGCGGTTTGATTGCGCAGATTTGTCCGTGCTGAACCGCCGACATGAACGATCCTATACATTCCTATGGGGATCATTCATGCGATCGCGTGCCACCGCCTGCCACTCAAAATGCTCCGAGCCTTTTTTCCACAGATTTGAATGAAAATGCGCTAATCAGCGTGTTTTTAATTGCGTTTCAGCACTGAAACGCAAATACAAATGCCCAAAACCACCGTTTTAAAATTCGCACGGAAACGCATCCGCCCTGGTGTGAATGGGGCCTTATAAAGCAGTGTTCTGGCAGAAAACAAACCTGTGGGGATGTTTTTCTTCGGACTATGTAATGAATTGCAGCATATTAAACACAGAATTCGTTGTTTTTTTTTTCACTATTCTGTTAAATATGTTACATCCAAATGTCCCTCCCATATACATGAGAATACACGTATATAAATGGTAATAAATTATAGAAGGTCTGTCACCATGTAGTACACATAATTCAACTAAAGAGGAGCGCAGGAAATGATTATCTCCCTAGGATTAGATATATGTGAGCGTTACGGCCCATTCACACAGGCAAGTGTAGCTATGCCCTTACAGATATTCAGATCTGCATTCGTATCTACCTACATTACAGCCACCATGTGATGACTTCTCGGTTTCAATATTTTTACTAAAGGATTGCCAAAAAGGTACAAAAGGGGTAAAGTAAATACCATTCAAATGTTGTTGCAACATACCCCATGTGAAGACTTTTAAGACATTGTTGTTATATGGCTGAGACAAGTCAAGCAGGTATAAAAGTGCAACGTTATAAAATCACCATTGACGTGTCTTTCTAGTAGTGAGAACATGAGCAGCCTTGCTCCAGCACACATCAGATCACAGATAAAAGTATACACACCTTTTTATGGATAGGTGTAGTAGCTACATGCAGCTCAATGCAGATCCGGACACTCTGTTGCCTGGAAGACATCAACCAACATTACATGGAGAAAGGTCCCACCACTCATTTAGAGGAACAAAGCATCAGCGGGGGCCAAACACACCTAAAGTGAACTTTCCCAAAGGTAACAAAAGGGGCTGCATTGCAGGGCGCTTGTGACAATGTTGACTGTTATGCCGACTTTTCAGGTTCAATCATTTTTAGTCATTAAACTGGAACAAGTATACATAAACACTCATATTAAGAAAGGCCAGAGGAGAGTTTTGAAGTACTTCTCTACTTGTTCTGGTTAAGGGCCTGTTTACACGACGTCCGTTTTGTGTGCTGACCGGCTCCGTACGCTGCTGCACTCAAAATGCATCCCAATGTATCCCTATGTGTTTTATGGGCTACAGTTCTCACGTGCGCAGTCCGTTCAGCTTACGACAGAAAAAATACTGCATGTCACATTTTGTCCGGTCAGGCACGAAACGCAACAAAAACGGAACGGAAACGCAACGCAATGCAGCTAAGGGGGAAAAAAAGAAAAAATTGTATTCTTGCTCCACTTATTATGATGTCATCAACGTTGACAAAAAATTAACTGTCAGCATCCGGACCAAAAACGCGTAAAAAACGCACTGCATCAGCAGCTCCACGTCTGCTGATCAGCACCTGATCAGGACCTGATCTCATGGGAACAGGCCCTTAGATCCCATTCACACCTATATTTTAGGTGTGTTTAGGGATTCCTGCATCAGGAGCTTGCGTTTTCCTGCAGCAGGAATCCCTACTCTGGTGTTTTCAAATTAATGATCAGGTGACAGCCGCTACATATAGACGCCGGCACACCACATGTAATCGTATGTGATATGAATACATACGGTTAGGAATCAATCAATACACGATCAATGCATCCAAGGAGAGTGATTGATTCCTAACTGCATATAATCGTATCACATATGATTACATGCGGTGTGCCGGCGTTTAAATAGGCTGCTCCCCCTGTATGCATTGATCGACCATCCAAGGAGAGTGATTGATTCCTAAGCGCATATAATCGTATCACATACGATTACATGCGGTGTGCCGGCGTTTAAATAGGCTGCTCCCCCTGTATGCATTGATCGAGCATCCAAGGAGAGTGATCGATTCCTAACCACATGTAATGATATCACATACGATTACATGCGGTGCGCAGGTGTTTAATGCAGCAGTTGTCACCGGATCATTAACATAAACGGGTGACAGCTGCTGCTTGTAAAAGGCAGATTAGGGATTCCTGCTGCAGGAAACAGCAAGCTCCTGATGCAGTAAACCCTAATCGCATCTAAAAGGTATTGGTGTGAATGGGGCCTTAGTCACTTTAGCATGAAGGTCAGCATCACATCCAGGTAACTGGTATTTATAAAACAGTAAGTCAGAAATGGCAGCCTCCATGTTTCTCTCAGAAGAAGGCTCTTTTAAAAATCACATTTTATCACAGAAAAGACATTTCACAGATTGTTCTCACTTTTCTACTTGCCACTGTTGTACTTACTGCATCCTAACCTTGAGGAACTTGAGGTCCTGCTTTTAGGAGAACAGGTTTATGATCTGGCTAATGCCAAAAGACTAGGAATGACACAAACCCACGGTCAGGTTTTTAGTGCCGTTTGTGACTACAGAAGGAAAATATGCCCTCACTTCCTGTTCTGGTGACAAGATAGGAACTGAAAGAAAAATGTACCCAAAGTGAGGAGAAAGCACGCCTTTTACAGGTGCCAGCGGGACAGGTGACTCCGCCGGAAATTTCTTTTCACTTTGTCTCACGGGTGAACGGGAAGTAACGTTTCCCCAAAGCGGAAATTACACCAAAGACCAGCCAGAGGCCATAACACTTTCCTCACTGTAGCCAAAATTGAAATGAAGTAGGTTTTATTATAGGCATTCTATTTCAGAATTAACATATTGGCCACACCTGAAGCATATACTTCTAAATACTAGAAATATAGTATATGTCCCATGCAATGTTTCAGTCCTATGTCCCTCATCTACAAACTGCCAGTACTATCCTTGCTTATAGCATTAGAGTTCCACCTTTCTAATGGCTGGATATGAAGAACATTTTTATTTCTGTTATAAATAATTTAGCTTCTGGAAAACACAAAACAACTTTATTATAAAATTCATAGAAACAGAAAAGAATTCATACATGTACCTTGAATATTAACATCTGAAAATGATAATGAGATCAAATCAATCTATCACTTTAAAGAACTATGGGGACAGTGTTTGTCCCCATAGTTCTCCTTAGGGTAACGGGAGGACACAAACTAGCGTCCTCCCGTCACCCTAAGCTCAGTATACCGCGAGCTACAGCTCGCGGTATACTGAGACGCCGCACCTGGAGCGGATCCCGACGTAGATGACGGGATCCGCCCAGCTGCGTGAGTGACAGCTGGCTCTGCCTATCTAGAGGCAGAGCCAGCTGTACCCGCCCCCTCCCCCGTCCGTTCCGCCAGTCAGCGCTGGCAGATCGGAGCGGGGAGAGGGGAATCCAGCCCCTCCCCCTGTCACGGCAGAGAGCTGTGACAGGATCGAGAGGTGAGGGAACCCGGTATGTGTTCCCTCACCTCCCGATCTACTGAGCCGACCTGTGACAGTCTCATTGTCACAGGTCGGCTTAGAACTAGGAGGTGAGTGGAAATCACTCATCTCATAGTTCTCCTTTAAAAGTAAGATGTCAGGATAGAAACCTGGGAGCTGTCACTGCTGACTAATATTGGAAGGTGCAGGCTTTGGGGCTGCCATACTTCTCCTTACTTCACTGACCTGGATGAAGCATGTGTGTATCAGGTACCGAGACATTCCAATAGCTGTATGCTTATTCCAGGCCAGTGACCGGTATACCATTTTTGTACACAGCAGTATAAAGAAATAGGACACAGCTGGGTCCTGGGCCATATATGTCAGTGTTACACTGTACACATGTAATGGTTGGTGTCATGTTTACATGCGTACAAGCATACAGTGTTAATGAAGACTATTAGTAGGGCTGCAACAACTAATCAATTCAATGGATAATCGATTATGAGAATAGTTGGCAACTATTCTCGGTTAGCGGAGAGGGAGAGGTGCTGTCACCCTGCGCACGTACACTACCACCTGAAGGGTGCGGTCATCCTGCGCACGTACACTACCACCTGAAGGGTGCGGTCATCCTGCGCACGTACACTACCATACTAGTATTGGTATCTATAACAAGTTTTTTGGGCGAGTACTCGTACTCACCCAAATGCTCCGATACAGGACTTCCGGTCAGAGGGAGATTTCCTCTGACCGGCAGTGCCACAAGGGAACATGGAGCTGGCCAATCAGGAAGCGGGGTCAGTGGCTAATGATTTGCTGGGAGTGAGGTCATGACCCGCAGACCGGCTTCCTAATTAGACGAACACACCTTCTGGCTTCCTGATTGGCCGGGATGCCGGCTTCCTGCTGATTGGCTGGGAAGCCGACTTCCTGGCCAATCAGGAAGCTGGTCCGCGGGTGACGAGCGGCCTTCCCGATTGGCCAAAAAAAAGGCTCCATGCTGATTGGAGGGGATGTCGGCTTCTGACACGCTGCCTGGCTTCCTGATTATTTGTACTCAGTATTGGCAAGTACTGAAATATAAATATCGGTACTTGTAATCGAAAAAAACGGTATCGGTACATCCCTAATTATTATAATACAGGCTTTATATAGCGCCAACAGTTTGCACAGCGCTTTAAAATATAAGGAAGACATTACAGTTTCACTACAAGATGGTTAGGAGGGCCGTGACCATGAGCGCTTACAATTTATAAACAGAACTTTACAAGTCCTAATGGAAAAGGACCCTTGGAGTGAGAACGTTAACCTAGCAGCCTGGAACTGGGAATGTGAAACTGTGTGTGCTGATGGACCATATTTTACCTTTCCTTGCAGTCCTGGCCCCGCATCAGAACCCTCAGTTCCCGGCTGAGCAGCTCCTGGACTCCAGACATGCTGCCTGTGTCTGCGCTATGCACTTAGAGGTTCCGGTCCAGTGTCTCCACAGAGGTGTTCTGGTCCTGTGCGGCTGCGCTCTGCCTCTCACAAATCCATTAATCCTACAAGCGTCCTGCTATCACCCGTACACTGCCCTTTACTGCACCCGGTGTTCTGTCGGCACTCTGGACCTATCAGGCTCTCTTTACCCCGCGTGCTGTGACTGTCCGTGCCCCCTCTTACCTCAGTCACCTCTCTTCCTAACCCACACTAGCGCCCCCTGTTCATGTACCCCGTTTTCTAAATCGTCCCCAAGCAGTCGCGGTATTATTTCCAAATCAACCGCCCGCTGCGTCCTTCCTGTGCGCGCTGACGTCATGACGTCCAGGCCTCTACGTCGCCATGTTGACTCCGGGTGCTGCACTTTTAGCTGAGGGGCAGACATATTTGTTATGGGCAAAGGGCCTGTGCTGATGTGGAGCAAAAAAGAGATAGTACATGTAAGAAAGCTTTGAGGTTACTAGCAAAAATATTACATAGAGCTACTCAGGCGCTAATGGAGTTAAATGAGTTTCAAGTGGTGACTGAGGGGGAGACTAGGAATGCTGCCGGCCCCCTGCCAGGGAGATGTGGCTATTTTGTGCAGAGGAAGAGAAGATATTGCAAGATGATCGTGTCAGAAGGGAAGAAGTTCTGTGGTGAGCATGCAGAGAATGGGGAGGTAATTATTATTAATAGGGCATGGGAAGGATATGGACATTCCAGTAGTACTAATGGGTATTGTCATGCTGCATTGTGTGCAACATGATCTCTTACAGTTGATTGTAAAAGTTAAAGCTGAAATCAAACTTTAAAAAATGTGTGTACACTTATATTGGTCCCACACAATTTAAGTATATATAAATGATCCCTGGCTATACTATGCATTCCTGATTGGATGAGGGGCAATGACATCATGGCACCAGCCATTGTCCAATCAGAAAACACTAAGTATGCATTTAGAACCTTGGTTCTCAACTGGTGGGTCATGACCCAAAAGTGGGTCACGACCCCATGTTTAGTGGGTCGCCACATGCCTTCCACCTTTCTAGGTGAGACACTCCTCAGCCTCCCCCTAGCGCAGCACTGTCTGTCTATCAGTTCTCGTGATGAGCAGCCATTCAAAATATGCCCGACCCTGCGTGTCAGCTTGAGGTGGGGTGTGCTGGAAGTATGGCCATAAGGGTTCTCCATCCATACATGCATTGCATACAGCTCCCACATGTGCCCTGTAGAGGTGCTTGGACTGGACTTGCGTCACATTCTGGCTCCCGGCACCTCTACAGGGTGCGCAAGGGAGCTGTACAAATAATCCACGTAAGTATGGAGCTCCATCACAGCACAGCAGCCCACACAGAAAGCTGTTAGAGGGGGCGGGGTTAGTGGGGTGTCATAAATGTTGGACCTGGAAGTAAAAAATGCCTCCTGATAATCAAAAGACAGAAAAAAATAAGCATAGGATGACAAATAAACCCTAAACAGATCAGAGATATACCACATACATGAATATTGTGATGTTCTGTAGATTCATAAAAAGTTCTGGTAGTGTGTCAGAAAACCAGAATCCACATTAAGTCCCTCCTTTATGGCGTTGAAATGTAAAATCATTTTCATCTCAAATGTTTTCCTTTCATGAGAGTTTTTAAAATTCCCCTTTAGTACTTTAATTTTGAGGTTTTTGGATGGAGTGATCCTTCTGGGAGAAGTGATGTCACACTGGAGTGCAATATTCATTCTCTTTGTGGTTCTTGATTAATATATATATTGCACACTGTGATTGTATGTGGACATGTATACTGTATATGTATGTGTTGGCTTACTTAGACAATTTTAAAGACATGCAGACTAGTTTCAAATTAAACATCGACTACAGGGTTTAGAATCCAGCATTCACAGAGTGTTTGATTAAGTAACTGCCTGTTACTAATGAAACACGTCTGAAGCAAGAAGTGTAAATAGATAGAAAGTCCCTCCGCACTCCTCACAACGCTCCCGGCCTATACAACAATGGTGCTCGCAGTGATGACCACGGATGGCGCCGTGCAGACACAAGGTAGAAGACAAGAATCGCCAGCACTCAATAATATCATTCAATATGTCCATTTATTTGTACAGATCGTCACAATGAAAAAAGCCAACGTTTCGGGGCCACACAGGGTCCCTTCATCAGGGCGAAAAGATGTGACCTCACATCTTTTCGCCCTGATGAAGGGACCCTGTGTGGCCCCGAAACGTTGGCTTCTACCTTGAAGCAAGAAGTGTGTTACTGGCAAGATCACCAGGTGAAAAAAAGGGAAAAGAAAGCCTGAAAAAGGAAAACTAATGCAGCAACTACATTTAAGGACGGTTGAGCCGCAATATAATAAATTGTTGATCTAGATTTAGATATACTTTGAATGCTTGTGCTCTCTTCAATTGCTTGAGTGAGTCACATGAGTAGTTCAGATTTGGTCTCGGTACTACCTTGGTAGACATCAGCCCATCTGTGACTTGTCTGATTCAGTGCCGCAATCCTCCTTATGTTTGGACAATCAATACCTGAGAGAACCTAAAAACAATGAATGGTAAATATTTGTATTTGTATTGCAGGAAACAAGCAGAAGAAGAATTCCCTGTCCTCTGGACCCCAAACAGTGAGTCTTTCTTAGGTGAATTGGTTTATCTGAATTGTGCTTGCCAAAAACAACAAAAGTAACTGAGGGTCATAGGTTTAAGCACATGGACATAACATTTGCTGCGTTGAGATTTGTGATTAATACAGATCTGAACACAGTTGTCCATGTACTAACTTGGGGAAGGGAGGAAGGCGGAGTGGATTACCTTGCTGTGTCTGTGTGTTTATGGAGACACACACAGCTTACTAGCACATACAAGGGTGGCTGCATTGGACCCTGTAAGAGAAAGGTGTCACCCTAAAACAGGATATCATCACTCTGTCGACCAGCTAACTCTGCAGGAAACTTTTAAACCTCAAGGAGTAGCATCCATTGTAAATGATTTAACCCTTTTCTGCCAGACCCTGCACTCAACTTTTCTTGCCAGACCATTTTTGCAATTCTTCACTTTTTTTTGTTTTATTTAAAGCAAAAGTTTGAATGCAGCCAACGTAAGGCATACTGAACTGGCCAGCTGGGAACATTTTTGTTCCGCCATATGCCTTACGCCATTGGCAGTGAAGGGGTTAATTAACATTTGACATACCTTAAAAACATTGTGACTTTAATATCACTTTAATGCAGCTATGTATTTATTAATACATCATTACATGTATTTTTTTTTAATGCAAGCAGTGTACATACGTGAATTTTACTTGGCCTCAGCCTCCTGCAAGTATCTGTGCAGCAAATCTAAGGCTGGGACTGAAAGAAACAACACAAGGAGTCAGTCAGCTGCGCTACAGTGCAAGGTGCATGCTGATAGAAGGCAAAAGTAGAGGGACTGAGAGATGAGCTCAGCAGTCTGCTCTTGCATCAGACGAAATGAGGTCTCCTGCCCTGCCAGACAGGGTTGTGCTGTGTGGTGGATCTGGGCCAATCGCAGGACTAGAAATCCCCAGTGTCTGTGGATAACATAATATGTAATGTCTGAATTAGTAATGTTTTGTATTTTTTTTTCTCTTACAGCACAGTGTATGAGGACCAGCTGCAAAAACACATTAAGAAATGCAATTCCAGGGAGAAGCCCCAACCAGTAAGTAGATATTATCCAAATTATGCAGTAGTGTAACCTTTTATTTAAAGGAGAATTATGGGGTGAGTGAAAATAACTCATCCCCATAATTCAAGCCGACCTGTGACAAAGAAGCTATCACAGGTCGGCTCTATTGATCACACACACCGCCGATCACTGACTTCCTGATCCTCTCCCTGCAGAGAGCGGTGGCTGTCAGTCAGTCCCGCCCCGTGCCCCCCCCCCCCTCTGTTTCTCCAGCGCTGACTAGAGGGACGGACGGTGTAAGGGGCGGGTACAGTGTCAATCAGCCACCAGAGTGGATCTTGACAGTACTGTCAGGATCCATCCCGGCTGTGGCGCGGCCCTGCTCTCTCATTATATAGCGAGCAATAGTATCCTATATGCTGAGTTTTGGGTCACCGAAGAACACGAAGAACACAGTGTATGTTTTCCCATGGCTCTGAAGAGAACTATGGGCAAAAAAGGTTGCCCTGTAGTTCTCCTTTAACTTTAGCCAATGTTTTCCTTTAGTTTTGGATAGAGCGAGAAGGCTTAGAAAGTCTGACAGGTCAGGATTTAGGTGCTAAATGTGCCCCTGCTGTGGCGAAATCTTCACCTGGACAGGAAGTGAAGGTAAATATCTCTCTCAACACAAACAATTGTAAAATCCTGACAGCGGTTTTAAACCCTCCTGAATACTAGTTCCCATTGGGGCAATTTCCCTTCACCTCCTGTTCTTTCTTACCTCAGCCAAATACACATGAAGGGGACACATTTGTCCAAACTTCTTATTCTGCCAGACAATTGTAAAATAGATAAGAGGTAAAAAGATAAGAGGTAAAACAATAAAAGGAATAGCACCATGTTTGACTTCTGTTTGCACTCCATTTGTCCAGCAATCAGCATTCAACAACTGCTAGCTATTACCAGTGCCACCATGCAACCCTTGGTGTTGCTCACCTCCTGCTAGTTTGCTCCTGGGCTCTTTGTAACCTTTTTCTTAATTCACTAATACAATTAACTGTGGTGTTGGACTTTGTGGCATTGGCAAAAGAAGGCAGCCAGATGTTCAGCCATCTGTACTTTTCTATTTGAGAAAGCACTGAGAGCAGTTTCAGCTTTCTATCGAGTTGCCATGTTATGAAACTGCAAGATTCTTAGCAGTTCCGCAGGGTGCAATTATTGTCCTATAGATCGTGATTTGTACTAGCTGGCACCTTGGCCATGCTTGGCTGAGGTACAAACTGACCTTGAGTGGTGTTGATTACAGTTCATCTGTGCCTGTGGGCCGGTCCCTAAACACAAATTGTCTCTGCAAGCAACTGTTCATATTTAGCCTTTGTAAAGGGCCTGGGGAAGTAAAACTGCAAACACCTGCAGCACCAGCTTATCAGAGGGGAAAGCAGCAGCAATTAGACTAGGTTTTCTAACCTGACCAATTGTTATTACCCCAGGTAAGCCTTGGCCAGGAGTGTCTGTAGATTCCTCATAGAAATTAGGTCATCATCTAATCCAGCTAAACTGAGAATTGCTTGGGTTCTGAAGTTTTAATAATCATTAGTATGTTACAATGATTGTGGCCCGTATAGGTTTTGCTAATAATCATTTTATTTTTGTTTGTTTTTGCCAGGTCTTTTATGTGCAAAACATCAATTCAGGCACTGTAGATCTAGACACCGGCGAGGAACAGGTATTTCTAGGATATGATACATACACGTTTTAGATATATATACTTATAAAGCCAGAATGTGTGATTTTGCTGTTCAGCTTTTCTCCTCTTTATATATTGGACAATAAATTAGCACCAACACACTGATTCATATTGCAATGGGCAAGTAGGTGATGTAGGAGCTTCCAGAAGTGAATTAGTATAAATTGTTGTTACCTTCCTAGCTACACAGTGTGGGAGAGTAGTAAGAATCAGAACATTGTCTCAACAAAACATTGTCTCAGGTAAAACAGGTCACATGTGCGCACACCAACAGTGTATTTTGTTTTTTTGCCTGGAATTGCACAAAAATTGGCCTTTCAGAATCACAGAAATACAGAGTAACATTCATATGAGGAGCAAAGGTGTGACTTTTGATCTCTAAATGATGTTTGTCAAATCAACATCAACATTAAAAACACACTTTTTTAATTTGTCTATTGTAACACATTTTTTTTATTAAAACCAATCAAAGTAGAAAATTGCTCTGGTCCAAACAGCTTAGGTGCGAGAGTGGTTAAAGTACACCTTTTAGAGAGAAATACGGAGGCTTCCATTGCTGTTCTACTTTTGAAAGTGCTGCTTGACCAGTGCTTAGGCTGATGTCGACTAGTTTTCATACATCCTGAGATATTGACATGGAACCATTATGCAGATAATGGGAGTCAGAGAAAAGTCAGGTTATTTGCATGCTCGTACTAGGTTTGCATGCTCGTTCTTAGTTGACAGGCAGTTCTAAGTTCATAACTGTGAGCAGGTGAAATAAGCCATAGAAGCTCATAACTAACACATATTTTAATGACTGCACCTTGTGCTGTATCCCCACACTGGACAACTTTTTGTTTTTTTATCAAGACTGTATATGTATGGTGACATGGGGATTTGTCAGTGGTGAGTAAAATACATTTTATTTAAGCTGTCACAAAAGGCATTTATGGTGATTATGCCGACACTACATTGGTTTTTAAACTGCACAAAAGTGTGCATCCATTGTATATCTTCAGGTGCTGGGTAACCCACATGTAATATATTTATAATATTTCTATGGTCCTTTTAGGTGAGCCTCAGTTCCTTGTCCAAAGAAGAACTGCAGAAACTTACAGAAACACTACTAAGGGTCACCAGTGGTAAGTGAGCCGAAAGCCGAGAGTTTTCCGAAAGTAGAACTCTAGCCACAGTGAAAGGAATTCCCACCTTTGCTTATGTAAAGATGAATAAAGGGGCGGGAAAGTAAAGAGTCCCGCAACCTGCGCAGTGCCATTAGCATGAGAGCAAGGAGTAGTCTAAACCCATATGCTGATTATACTTTAGCCACGGGGACCAAATTTTAAGGAATTTAGAGTGGAAGTCATTCAGGACGGCCATAAGCTTCTCATACACCATAAAACCCATGACACTCTGTTTACCCTACAAAAAATGCAGGGTTGGCTACTTCCATGCCGTGACTATGGTTTAGCGAGTGGCCAGAAAAATAAATGTCACTTATTTTCTATCATTCCTAGAGAGGTTTGCAAGCCTATTAAGCAGGGCTTCCCAAGGATCTCGGGCCATAGTACAAATCAATACAGACCTCAGTAAACTGTACACCTGAATCTACAATTTTTGCATCTTCGTATGCTGCCACCATATGTGAAAGAGCGTGCCCTGAGCGACACAACTGCGGAAACAGATAGAAGCCCCACAGATGCTTTTTTTCATCTATAGTCTGTTAACATTTATACTGTAAAAAAAAAAACAAAAGCATAAAGGAGGGGATGTAGAAGAGATACATTGTAGTATCAAGCCCCCCTATAATGGGCAGTTATGACATTCTCTTTACCTTTACATTAATGTTAATAAAATATACTTCACATGGTTCTTTGTGAGGTGTATCACCAAATCAATTTAAGAAATGTATGTTATGCAAGCAGGTTTAATTCTTATGTTTCTATGTATATGTACACTTACAAATTTCTGTACTCTGGGTGCAGAGCTTTTATGTAAGTAGATGACTGTGATAACCCCCCACAACCAGTCACTACCACAGGTCTCCCAATGGTATTTGTTACTGGCTAGTTGATCATTAGGTTGCTGTTAGAAGACAGATTATAATGTTAAAGGCAGAGAAGGATAATAGTTTTTAAGGGAGGAGAAGAAAACAGAACAAATGTGGTGAGCATACATAAAAGTGTTGCACAGGGAAACCTTGTACATGGCACCATGACACTTTTCTTGCTAAGTTCAGCAATTTTTCTTGTTCTTATAATCTTGCAGATCTGGATCCACCACTGCCAGACGGGAAATTATGTCACTCTGCATTACAAGAAGCATTGAATGACCCAACAAATGGAGACACTGCCTGCAAGCATCTCAAACAACAGGTATGCAAATCTGGCCAGTTCACTGAGAGGATGCATATCCTGGCTCTAGGGTAGTGATACAATTGACCCATAATCTGTATGTGGTTGATGTAGGCTCTCTCTTTTCTTTTTTTTTTAAGGATTATTAAACTCTCGCATGTTTTGCATATAGCTACTGCTAACAAGCAGTAGCTATATGCATAAACATTAACAAAAAAAGTTAACAAAAGGGTTAAAACTTACCTGTGTCTCAGCCGCACACTCCCGTCCATAGATCTGAAAATTCTAAAGGATCATGGGGCGCGCACATGCGCAGTAGTAGACCTTCGGCCTGGAGAAGAGTAAATACAGGGTAAGTCAATTCAGCAGCATGCACCCACACAGACTCCGTGGGACAGGAAGAGAGAGGACTCAATGCTGGATCAGAAACCGGCACCAGTGCTGGAGGGACTTCTGAAAAATACTGTAAAGAAGAAGATGATTGGATCAAGAGGCATTATTTAAGATAAGTCCTTACACCACCATTGGGGGGGGTTCAGGCTTCAATGTCACTTTAATGACGCATCTAGGTACTTCTAAATAGTAAAACCAATTCCTTCTGTTACTTTTTTTACAATTATACAATTGAACTGTATATTGTTAAGCCCAAGTGCCCCTGCAGGTAAAACCTGAGATTGTAGAAGATAGGGGCACCTTGTTACTACAAGGGCAGAAGTGATTTGTGTAGCACAAGTCTACATTTTAGAAGTAACACTACAATGGTTAGAAGCACTTCTTCACTTTAATTGGTTTGTGTAGCAAAAGTTACATGTCGGTTCTCTTTCACAGGCCTCTATTTTGGGTCATTTGGATAGGTTGGGTCTGTTGGGCACTTCTCGCTGCTTTGTAGAGTTTGGAGCAGGCCGAGGGAAGTTATCCCATTGGGTGAACATTGCCTTAGAAAATGATGACGACGTCCACTTCCTACTGGTAGAGAGAGCCACCACTAGGTTTAAGGTAAGAATTTTTACACCATCTTTCTAACAAACTTGTTATTTTTAGCACTAGTTTATGTTAGAGCACTTTTATATTGGATTTCACAGTATAATTAAAATGATTATTAACCACTGATAACTTGTGCTTGGTCCAAGGTGGATGGGAAGCAGAAAAAGTCTACTTTTGAGAGACTACATATTGACATCCAGCACCTTTCTTTAGGTTAGTAGAATCACATGGTACGGAGGGAGGGATGTGATGGGAAGAGTGAAAGGTAAGATAGTAAAAAACATCTAATGTGTTTCCTTTCAGATCGAGTCCCCAGCCTTGTTCAGAAAAGGCTGCCGGTTATTGGAATTGGAAAACACCTCTGTGGAGCTGGCACAGGTCAGATGATCTAAGGACAGGCTGTCAGTGATTTTTCTCTTGCTATAAAGTTAAAGTAGCAGGATATTATATAATAATGCACAAAGAGAAGGCGCTGTTCTATTTTGTTTTTTGCATAATATATCACACATACGTCATGCGCTTTAGCAGTATGTAAGTTCTTAGCACCAGTGTAAACCTTAAAGCAAAGTGTCCATAACACTACAGCACGTTCTCTGCCTGAACCCTTACACTTAAGCTATTCCTTTACATGGGTACCTAACACCTAACCTAATTTACTCTAACAACCAAATGAGCACTTAACATTTAACCTCCATCCCAACACCTTCCCCTAACAGTAAAAAAAGAAACTCCCTAATTCCCGACCTTAACACTAACATAACATAAATTGGCCCTGACACTACACTAACCTTTTGTTCAGTAAATTTGCCTTGGATCTGGGGACAGCCAGTCCAAATCTTCACACAACAATACCTTTTGAACATGACAACTACTGATCCAATGTTTTATACACATTTTGTAATGGCTTCATTTGCAGATTCTATGTAATATTTAATATCCTTTTTCCCCCTTTAAATTCATTTTAATCCCAAAGTACTACTTCTCCTCTCCATACTCTAATGCTGGCCTCCTGCGGCTCCTATCTTATGTGTTAAAAAAAACACACTATCTGTGAGCCCAGGCTGTCATTGCC